TTCGAGAAATTCTCAAAGTTCACTCCTTGCAAAAAAGATGCAGAGTCAGCATTTTATTACGTTTACTTCCGGCAAACTACAAGATTTTTGAAGTTCCGGTTTTGGTTTTCGCCAGGGCCTCCGGCAACGCAGTGTCAGCCGTGAGGCCCTGGGACCGAGGATGCACCAGACCAAATATGCAACAAGTACTACCAGCTGTTCAACTATTACCAGTCTGTTTAACAGGGCCACAAACCGAGATGAAACGAGTTCGATGGCAATTAAACTGTGTGCATTCATTGCAGAGCACAACCTGCCACTTTCTCTCGCAGATGATTTAGTGAAATTTATTCGATCGCTCTTTCCGCTTAACCAGACTTTAAGAAATGTAATGCTTGGTAAACAAAAAGCGACAAACGTTGTCCGACAAGTTCTCGGTTTCGACTATTTACATGAAGCAATTTCAGCGTTGCGATCCCATAGTTACAGCTTGATAATCGACGAAACAACGGACTTGAGCACCGCAAAACAACTTGCTGTATTAACCACTTACTTTGACATGCAAAGTTTTGAGTACAAGTCGTGTTTGCTTGACATGCCAGAAATTGTAGATGGAACGGCCGAAGGAATTTATTCGGCTGTAAAGCATGTGTTTGCCGAACTGCACATTCCTATGGAAAAAATGATTGGCTACTCATCCGATACGACCAATGTTATGTTTGGAGATTTCAACTCCGTCTCTCAGCTCTTAATGTCAGAGTACCCAAACGTTTATTCTGTTAAATGTTCATGCAACTTAATTCATTTGGTATCGTCTTATGCCGCTCTGAAATTGCCAAAAGGATTAGAAGATTTTTGGATCGCGACATATATAACCACTTTCATCGCTCATCCAAGAGACAAGGAGTCTACCAGCAGTTCCAGAAATTCTATGACGCAGAGCCCCGTAAACTGCTCTCGCCCGGGCAAACTCGCTGGCTTTCATTAGAAGCGTGCGTGAACCGCATGTGTTTAGAGCAGTACCTGGCCTTGTAGCATTACTTTGTTCTTATTGCAAATGAAGACCCAACACACTCGAACGATCGTATTCTCAAGTCGCTTCAAAATAAGTTCACCCTCGCCCACCTTGAATTCTTTAGCCACCAGCTTCAACGTTTTAATGCTTTCAATCGTCTCTTTCAAAGCGAAAGGCCCCTTTTAGACAACCTCAGAGAAGAAGTTGAAGGGCTAATAAAATCAATTGCAAGCGATTTTATGTCCATTGCGTATGTCAAGCAAGCCAAGCCAAAAGAAATCGATCCAACCAGAGCCGGACATCACATACCACTGCATCAAGTTTATGTTGGTTGGTGTTGCAGCCACTGCTACTATGCATGAGATAAAAGCAGGTGCAAAACAGGAGGACGTACAGAAATTTCGAAGCGACTGTAAGAATTTTCTTATCGAAAGCATCCTCCAAATCAAGCAAAGATTTGATTTAGAAGCAGAAATACATGACATTGTTTCATGTATTGCACCAGGGAATGCGGCTGCTCGTGTCCCATCGTCTTTGGTTCAAATCATCCAGAAGTTACCTTATCTAAATGAGATCCTGGATGCTGCGAAACTTTATCTGGAATGGAGAGAACATGTTTTTGAAGATGATCTAAAACCTGATCTTTATTGGGATGAATATTGGAAGATTGTTAAAGATGCCAAAACCCCTACAAGAGAGCCCAAGTATCCAAATCTCACCAAATTTGTTGAAATTCTTGCCTCGTTTCCATTCTCCAACGCACCTGTCGAGAGAGTTTTTAGCATACTGAAGCGAATCAAAACCGAGCACCGCACATCTCTAAAGTCGTCATCATTAGTGGCGTTACTTCAATGTAGAATGGCAATGAAGAATGACAAGCTAACGTCTGCGCGTTTGAAACCAAGCCAAAGAGCTTTGGATCTTGCAGATAAAATGAAAGCAAGTGCCACTGATGAAAAAGCCAAAGAGCTAAGAAAGAAATTTCTTGACGAATTATTCAGTGAAGAGAACGTTTGAATTCAGAGTTCAGAATGACTAACTGACTAAAGAACATAACTTATGCGGGTTACCAGTGAACTATGTAACGGTGTTAAGTTCCTTCAGCTAAGCGATATTTGAAAGGATGTTTTAGCGATGTTTTACTACTGAAAAGTAGTTTTGTAAATATACAGTTCATATTTAATTTAATATGATAATCAGTTAAATATATTATCAGATATATCGGTCATTCGGTGATAATAATTTAGAAAGTTTGTCATCGTAAGCACAGGAGTACGGAAAGTCGGAAAACTCCTCTGATTCGCGCAACAAGTGCGAAAATGGGCAAAATGGGCACTCCTAAAGCCATGTGGTCTTTACTCGTGCAATAGAGTACAGAAAATCGGTTATTTTTTAGGATATTTGCAAGGAATTTGCAAGGAAATTAGGTGATTTTGGCAGGAAAATTTTTTCAGAAAAAAGGATTTTTCAGCATCTTAACAGGAAATTTGGCAAATCCATTGTGAAAGCCCTGCCCCCCCCCCCCCCATAGACCCCCCCTCCGAGAGGGTCCTGAAGGGGGGGGGGTCCTAATCCCATTTCCCACCTGAAATTTTGGCAAAATCCCAGTCCCAGTTGGATTTTTATTAGAAATCCCAGTCCCAGTTATTGAAATCCCAGTCAATAAAAAACCCTTTATTTATTGGTAGAATAAACAGTTTTAAGACCTTTTAAGCAAGTGGCGGACACTTTATGAAATAGTAGGGGGGTGCTCGTGCCGAAGGCACGGAAAATTTTTAAATTTGAATCCCGGAAATGGCATTTGCAGCATTCTGAGACACGCATAATCAGAAAACCCAGAATTGCGGGCGCCAGAGTATGCCTGTTCACAGGTAGCGCTGTGAATAATATAGTTAACAACAAAAATCATGACCAAAGACACCAAAAAATTGTATTTTAAAATACTCAAAACGCAGAAAAATTGGGAATCGGCTCGCATTACCGCAATCCCATTCCCATTTTTGAGGACTTCATTTCCCATTCCCAGTGGCCAAATCCCAGTCCCAGCAACCCAAATCCCATTTTCCCAGTCTAAAAATAGATCAATCCCAGTTCCCATTTTACCCCTTCAGGACCCTCCTCCGACATTTTTATCTCACGGCATTTTCTTCTAGTCTACAGCACAGAATAGATACAGGACCAGAAGTGTCACTCAGACGATATTTTGTCCGAAATTTTACGAGTGCTGACGTGAAAATACGCCATCATATGACGCCATCCTGGAGTGCACACAGAAGTTTTTCATAGGAAAACATAAGTACAAAGTGCCGGGTGCACTCCAGGATGGCGTCATAGCACGCAAAAAAATTTCGGACGTTTTCCTTCAGCCAAAACAAATAGGAGTGACACTTCTGGTCCGGTATCTATTCTGTGTCTATAGACGGCGAAATCTATGGCGAAAGGTCCCTCCTAGCCTCCTCCGCAGGCATCTCGTAGTTCACGTACTTCAAATCGCCGCTCAACTGGCTCAATCTCGTTCCCAGAGTATGCCTGTTCGCGGGTTAGGTAGTCATGCCACACTGTCATGCCACTACCTAACCCGCGAACAGGCATACTCTGGGAACGAGATTGATCGCCGCTATTAATTTTTTGCCTGCAAGACATTTTGCCCGATAATTGAAAGGCGATGTCTGCGGAGGAGGCCATAGAGATTATAAATAACACAATAAATAACAGTGTTATTTATAATCTGTATGGAGGAGGCTAGGTCCCTCCCGACTTGTGGTCTGACTGAGTTTAAAATATCTGAAAATTGGAAATTGAAACGTTTAATGAAATAAAAAGTGGGGGAAACTGGGGGTGGCGGCGACCAGAAGCATTTTTTCAAGAGTAAAGTGCAACATATCGGCCATAAATGAATCGTGGTCAGCACTTGTTTCCAACCACCAAACTGACATGACGTCATTTTCAGAAGATTGAAGAGGTGTTAAATGGCTATGTAACTAGCCAAAACCCTACCCCTACTCTAACCCCTAACCCTAACCCTAACCCTAACCGCAACCCTAACTCTAACCCTAACCAAATTAATTAAAAAATCCAAAAAGAAACAACTTTAGAAATTGATCAAATGACGTAATGTCAGTTTGGTAGATGGAAACAAGTGAAAACCATGAATCGTCGTCCTTGCCATAGCAACAGTGGTGATGTTTTCTGTGACAATTGTACAAAAAATGTACAATCTTTTTATTTCGGGCAAGTAACATTCCATCAAATTGTTTATGATTTTACGTACCTTATTTTTAAAAATTGTGGAGAGCAACCATAAAGTTACCCTATTTTATAATTTTAGGAAATTAATAATTTTGGGCTCTGTCGACTTTAGACTCGTGCGACTTTCCTCAATCCTGATTGGTTAACAATGCTACACTTGACCAATCATGTCTAAGGAATACTCAGATGTGTACGAGCGAATACAAGCGTGCATGTTAATAAGTATTTGACATTTAATTTCAGAGTTCAAACAATTTTGGCTGAGAATTTATTTTATAAATCTGATATCTCTGCTGTTCAGAATGCAGCTGCGGGATATTATATTCTTCGTTGCGCTGCTTGGTTCAATACCGTTTGGCCACTTTGTAAAACAGATCAAATCTCCGTCTCGAAAGCGATTCATTTGCACTGTTGCTGGAGTCTTTCTTGTTTTATTTCTAAATGGATTTCAAGATTTCTGGCACTCATTCCTAACTATACTTGGCACTTACTGCATTTGCAAATCGTCCAGGTAATAAGTGCTTTAACTATTAAGATAGCATAGATTGTAGAAGGAATTGTGTCAAGATTTTAACTATAATTTATTGGATCAAATATTGTAGTATACGACCCCCTCATTCATAAAGTTATGAACGCTGTATAGAAATGCTTTGTTCTTTATTGAAAACTAGATTGCTTATTATTGTTCATTTTTGTCCAATTCTTGATATGATTTAAAGTTGTTTTGGGTAAATAACACGGGATTTATTAAAGAATACTTCTATAGAGCGCTAACTTATGGGGGGTGATCTCTCAAATGTATATTTGCTTAGCTGCATGTATAGGTTTTAATATCCTGATTTGTCGTGAAGTTTTACGAAATTTAAACACTATCAAACGTTTGTTTGCATCGCATCTGCGTATTTATGTCACTTACGGATGTTATATTTTAAGATTTGTAAAGAATAAGCGATTGTAATATTGTATTTCCCAGTTGAATGTAACGTAATGAATTTATTCATATTACAGTAAATAATGCATTATATTTTTTAGATCAGTTAGATGGTGTAATTGGATTTCCTTCCTCTGTGTATTTGGCTACTTATTCTTCTTCAGAGCCTGTACATACGTTGGACTACCTCATCCCTCGGCTTATACTGACAATGTTCAACTGTTTATAACTCTTAGAGTAAGTAATTCTCCTCAACTTGATATCACTAGCTTCCTTATAAATTATTAACATGCACAAATGCTAGAAACTTGCAAGAACACATATCGACATCATAGTATAAAATAGTAATTTTAATATGTTTAAGTTCACTTTTAATATGTAAATGCTATTGGAAATACTTATTTGCTGCTTTTGAGATGATATTGACAATTTGGTTTGTTTCTAATAGTTATTCCAAATAATGTTATAATTTATTTTAAATGCAAATTGCTGAGAATTGACAATACCACATTCTTACAATAAATTGCTGAGATACAAAACCCTTCACAGGGAAACTCAAAAGGTGCATGTTTACGATTTACACATTTAATTTGTCCGGCTGATTTTAGGTTTTGTCAAATGTTAGTGATGAATATATTTTCCCTTGATAATGTTGTCAGCAGGGTAACAAACAACAGGTGTCAAATCTGCTTTAATTGGAATCAGTGGCGTAACTGGAGGGTGTCCAGAGTGTGCATTGGGCCTCCCGAACAAGTGGCCCCAAAAAGCAGGAATTACTGAAAATATTTGGAACCTTTTTTTAGTAGACATGGATCATGGGGACAATTTTTTGACTTTTTAAAAAAATTTTCGACCCCCTTTTTCAGTGAATATAGTCTGAAATTATCCCCCCCCCCCTGTTGCTGACCGGTGTCGCAGGAAACCATACCCCTACCCTGACAACCTCTCAGGAATTCTCAGAAATAAATTTTGGTTGCGTGTCGCTCATTTTATACTTGCATCATTTCAACGATGATAATTCGTACTAAATTTGAAGATTTGTAGCCAGAATTGTACAAACAAAGGGAATTTGTGAAATGTTTCTTCAAGTAAGAATCTGGATTTGTACAGCAATGTACAGTATGTCTTAGTAATTATAGTATGATAAGTGCTATTTCAGAGACCCCTTGGCTAACTTCCAGAACCCCTTGGCTAACTTGTTCCTGCACAGTAGCGTAGCCAGATCTTCATTTTTAGGGGACCGTCTAGGGGGGTCCGTCTAGGGGGGTCCGGGAGGTGTAAAATTTTGAAATATATTGGGAAAATTTTGAAATCTAGAGTCCCTGTAACCTGAGTATCGGGCTCGATTTTACAAATAGAGTTTATATTTAGTATCCAATCAAAATGTCGCAGGAGAAATTTAAATTTCACACAACGACAACAACAATCTAATTATAGCATATAGGCAGCACTAAACGGCTGAATTTAAATTAAAACTGCAATGAACTTATAACATTAACAAAAATAATCACAAATTAGCAAAATATATTGCAAATGTAGCTTATATTAAATCGCCACCCGATTGCTCTCTCCTCCGCAGAGGTTTCAGTGACTACAATGAGCTTTACATGGCGCTTACCTTTTTTATCAACAAACTGACGTATAATTATAAAGTATATGTATATTAAGTATACTTTATAACTATACGTCAGTTAGTCGATAGTGCAATCTGATGGCGATTTAATATAAGCTATATTTGCAATATATTTTGCTAATTTGCGATTATTTTCTAATTTTACTGCAGTTTTAATTTAAATTCAGCCGTTTAGTGGGCCGGCTATAATTGTAGTTGTGATCGTTATAAAATATATCAACAACAATAGTATAATCTCATTAGCACCAGCCAATCAAATGACAGATTTAAAAAATCGTTTGTCTAGTTGGCCAATCAGCGCTCAGTCCAGATTCTGGACTGAATAACCAGGCAAAATGCCGCTTTTGTGTCAGGCCGTACTTTTCTCCCCTTCGCCCGCGATCAGGCGTGCCTGTGCCCTAAAAAGTACGGCCAGATACTCAGGTTAGAGTCCCTGAAATGCGATTTTCAAGCATTTGGGGGTTGAAATCTTGCAGAATTCAGAAGATTATAAAGTACATCAAAGACATAAATTTTCCCAGACGTTTCTACTCGGAATTAAATAAATTGGAAAAGTCACCTTGAAAAACAGAAGGAGGGTTCAGTTTCACACTATTTCCTCTCTGTGGAGAAAATCCCAATGTGATTTAATTTGTGAATTTAAATTATTCCAGGTTCTACGAGACACCATTTTTGTATTCTCAAAATTGTGTTGCTTTTTTATACAATACAGAATAAGTCTGAGAAGAATTAATATTCATGCCATGATAATGCATACATGTGAATTTAAACAAATCTATTCTTCTTGAACCGATCTAATCTACAACTGCTTTAACAAGATTTTACAAATCAAGTTCCTTCAGTAAGTGAATTGTTTTCCCTCAGTCAAGACTTACTTAATCAGTTTCCAGCTTGGCATAACGGGTAATCTCCCCAATTTTTCACGGATTTAGCCTTTTCAGAGAATGGTTTTTGTGCATGCATGGGGCTACGCCACTGTTCCTGCGGCCCTTGCTTTTGCCCCACCACTGAAGAATCCTTAAAAAATGCAATGAGGCAAGTTGACAATAAAGGGGTACGTGCAAGAAACCTGGGTGGCTTGAAATGACAGTGTACAATGCTTGTTGGTGACTAATTAGATATATAATCTCCACCACACCTATCTAGATTAATAATATTATATCTGGATGCACCCTACTTTATTAATTTACCAATCAAGCAAATTAGGCAAAAAGGTCTCCATACTCATGGCATCTTCAGAACAAGGGGGCGTCTTGAATGTATAGGCTAATGTTTTGCATATAAAAACAAAATGACAGATACAGTAGCTAAACTGTTAAACAATTCAATTGAAAATAATTTTTCACATGTCAAATAAATATCATGATAGGCATACAGTATTAGGAACAAATCTTTGTGAAACATGATGCCAACAAAACAAGAAAGGTAACTTTAAAGTGACAGACAAAACAAAGTAAATTAATTTCAAATTGGTACATGTTAGTGTTATTTTTGAATGGATTTACACAAAACTGCACCAAAACTCTGTCAATTAAATTACTAATAATATAATACCTACAGTACATACTGTATACTATGTTTAAACTTGCATGCATCTTCATATGAGCCATATGTTTCTTAAATATTTTGAAACATTTGTTAGGATCTCTCTGAAAATCTCATCTTGTTTGCTTGTTGCTGTACTAGAACATTTGTTGAGGTATCAGAGGTTTATCTTTTGTAAACAAAGATACTAATCATTTCCAGTTTACAAAAATGTTTAAGACTTCAAAAGGAATATAATAAAGTTAATTGAACTTTGTGTTGTGCAAGTTTGGTCTGAACTCTGAAATCAAAGTTGGGATTAATTACACTCCTGCTTTGTGCAATTTTGTAATCACACATTTGATTACAGACCAAATTGCACTCAGTTCAGTTAACCATTATTTATTATATTATTTAAAAATCAATGCTGTTTTCGAATTCCTGCAGTCTGATTGGCCCTTAGCACTGTGATTTCAGCACAAATCACACTCAAAAGTGAAAACAGAAACACCTATAAAGCGACAGGCAAAACAAGGTAATTTAAGTCCCTATCAAATTATCTGTAAAACCTATCGTATATTTAAACTTACTTGTGTTGTCTTTTATGACTACATAAATCTCTTTAACTCTTGAAAACTTTTCACAATTTTTCCATTGATGTATAATTACAATTTGAATAAAAGTTCTGCTTATTACTGTGTAGGTGTGTCTTTTGCAAACAAAAAAATGTTTCCTGTGTACAAAAATGTTTTAGGTTTCAAAAATGTTTAAAATAAAAAGTGGAAATTGAACATGCAATTTTGGTGTGAAGTCAAAACTTGTGATTACAAACCGCCTACGCACAATTTTGTATCAGTCATGTGTTTGATTTCACACCAAACTCTACTCACTTCAATGAATGATTATATTTGTTTTTTCCATATAGATGGTTGGACTGGCGTTTGAAATTCATGAAACATCTGTGGCTAAGAAGTCAAACACTGCAGATGAGTCTGAAAAGACTGAGATGAATGATGAAGAGTTACAGGATATGTCATTTTACCACTTTCTTAGCTATGGTTACTGCTACTGTGGGATATTCACTGGACCATACTATAAATACAAGACATACACTGATATGTTAAAGCAGTCAAACCCGGACAAAATTCCTTCTCTTGACCTGGCATTGAAATGGCTTACGTATTTACCATTATTTGTCGCTGGTTATGCTATCTTTAGTCAATGGTTTCCAGCATATTTAGGCAAAGATCAGTTTCACAACCAATCAGTTCTTGTACAGATATTTCTACTTGCCTTGGCAGACATTCGCTTCAGATGTAGAATATACATTGCTACTCACATGTCAGAAAGTAGTGCTATGACATTATGTCTTGGAGCATATCCAGTTGAGTCACGTCCTAAACCTGGGCAAGGTCCCACCAAAGCCATTGAGGACAGTTCACAGAAACAGAAGGAAGAAGAAAATACTGACCTGGTAACTACAGACAATAAGTACAGGTATATGTTTCTGTATATTATCTACAATTGGTTGAGAAATACTGCTTGAACTATAATATTGAAATAATTTTGTGTTTTTAATTTAAATCAAGGATCACACAAGAGGTTTTTGATAATACTTTTATTTTAGCTACATGTACATACGTTTCGGATAGTTTACTATCCGTCCTCAGGCTAACAAATTGTTCTTACATTGTAAGAATGTAAGAGCAATTTGTTAGCCTGAGGACGGATAGTAAACTATCCGAAACGTAGCTAAAATAAAAGTATTATCAAAAACCTCTTGTGTGATCCTTGATTTAAATTAAAAAAACAAAATTATTTAATATGAACAGAGGTGAAAGTTTCAGAAAAGCAACTATAATATTTCATTGCCATTTACTGTACTACATGTACAGTATGATATTTCTGTAATATGTGCGCAATAGATGCAGAAATGTGCGTGATTTACTATACATGAGTCGTCTTGTGACGTCATCTGGCATAAAGCCTGCCGTACACGAGCGAAACTTGCTGAGCTACTGTAACCGCTTTGCGTGGGGCGGCTATAGCTTAGCTACTGTATGTTACCACACACATTGGGAAAACTACTCAACAGGTCAGCAACGTCTTTAATAAGATCGTTTGTATTTCCCTCCATTCTCGCCATTTTGACCAAAATCACGTGACGAAACTATGGATTCTCATTCGCTAGTTAATTCAGGCAGGTCAGTGCTCACTAAGCTCACAACATCCGCAGACGTTGAGATTTTTTCATCGCAAGGTGAAAATATCAAGCACGATAGATATTTTTCTCAAGGCGTCGAGAGGTTAAATCCTAACGAAAACTATCCGCACACGGGAGAAAGCATGTTTCAGCGCGTTTCTCGGAGAGTGTTGATATGTGTACTCTTCTGATGTGTGTATTCTCTTTCATACAAGTGAAATTGTACTATGGGGTCAGTTGTGCGAAGACCAGATAGCGCTATTCAACGAATAGTGATTTTTAAAAATTGTCTATTGATAACCCAGATTAAACTTTTTAATTAATATTTATAAATTAAAGTTCCTTTTTACTAATTGTGAGATCCATATCGGTAGCATGTGTGCTTTTCAACCATTTTCACGAAGGGTCTGTGCCAATAATAACAAAACTTCGGTTAGGAATGCAACTACCAGAAAAATACAAGGAGAAATTCGACGTTTCGGGAAGGTACTACTAACCTCCCGACGAAGAGATCAAGGTTGAAAAAGGTCCCAGGTGTATTGGAATTTAAAACTATGCTGTCTTGATATATTATTACATTCTCCCCTTTGACATGTAGAAACGTCTGGCATTAGACAAAGAAAAATAACAAAGTCAGAGTGCGATGTAAATTGGTATGAGTTTTGGCCGATAAAGCTATCTAGTTTTTCGATACGACCTTTTGCCATTCAAACACATACGTGGTGGTATATTACTGTGATACAACAAAAATGTCTGTATTAATGTGTAAAGTTTACAGTACTAAGGGACTGTACGATGCATTGCATAGTTGCTATTGGGTGGGGTTGCCAGAGCTTAGATTGCTTCAATTGTAATGACATTTATCATGTACATATTAAAAATAATCTTAATTTTCTAGTTTTGAAACAATCCGTGGAATGTATGTTAGGAAGGTCGAGCTTTCATCTCTTAAAGATATGATCAGAAGTTGGAACACGACAGTTCAATGGTGGATGGCTGCTTATGTCTATCAACAATTTCCGTTGAGAAATAAGTTGGTCAGGTAGGTTACCACTACAAGGATTGTCGAAAACTTTGCAATGACTAGAAATGTTTCAGAATCTGTTAATGCACACTTTTCTTAAGCCATCACTCATTTTAACTTAGCCAGCACTTCCAATACATCTTGTATGATGTATATCATTCTATGGTCATCCTTGAATCTATAATGTATATCATCATACAGTGCACTTTTATGTATGATGTGTATCATCATACAGACAGTTGCTGTGCAAACTCCGGTTTTTCATCTCCGGCTCCGGCCGAATTACAGCTCTGAGCTCCGGCTCCGGCCACATCATAAAATATTAAATAAATGTTTTACGATCAGAGAACATTTATTAATATTATTATGAATAACCCTTTTCGTGCTTCCTAATTATCAGATAACATAACTCAGGAAACAAAACAGTGAAAACACATAACCACGCAGAAAATATCTATATGGAAACCAGCCTCGAAAAATCTTTGACACGAGGCATGACGCGAGGCATGACGCTGACACTCTCAGACTCCACAGCGCAATTGTTCGCACGCAAACAAAGTACTCTGTCATTTTCAAAAGGTTGATATTTATTTGTTTTGTACTTTTTCGTTATCTACAAGGCATGAAATACACAGACTACAGTATGTAGCGCTAAGTCAGATGGCTTCATGAAAGCATGACGTTTGTAAGTTGCGATCGTATTACAGCTTTTCGACGCTGTTCCTGTGGGCTGTGACAGTTTGAGTCTATGATGAATTCATTAACAGCAATTGGCAATTTGCAGTAACTAACAATCGTTTGACATTTGTCTCATTTCATATTGTTTTCTTGTCATTTTGCCGGAGCTGGGAAAACGTAACTCCGGCTCCGGGCTCCGGCATACAAAGTTCTGCTCCGGCTCCGGCGTCGGAAAAACTGCCGGAGCTCCGGCAGAACTCCGGCTCCGGCAACTCCGGCGCACAGCACTAACAGACACATTGATAACCTGACCCCCACCCCTACTCTGTTTCTAGAGTACAACAATTGAACGCAAAATCAAGCTTTTTAACGATATAGAACGTAGTTAAACTGTTTGTATCACAAACGTTTGGAATCACAAACTTCATCTAAAGTTCTCACGAAATTACCTAATACCAACAGAGCCTCGTTTTTGTGATTTGAGATATTGGGTTTAGAGTCCTACATTTTGTTACAGATCGACACATTTACGTACGACATGTAGTTATATTAGACAATGATCTTTATATATTTAGGTCAGCAGTAACAAGATTAAGCGCTCTAAAGCCGATGTCTCAATCCCGAATACAAGGCTCTATAGCCAATACTAAGTACTTTCTGGAAGGGACCAAGGCTAAGTGGTTCGTACAGTCGATAAAACACTGACAGTACAAAGAGACTGAATATTGTGTGATCGTATTATATTTGAAGAATACATTGTCAGACAAATTCACAATTCGATCTAAATTAAACAAAAAGTATAGGATCTTGGTAATGATCTGGCAACCAGTAACAAAAAAGTCTCATGGGTTGACCATTAGAGAAGTGAGGGGGGGGGGGGGGGGGGG